CAGGCCCTCTCCCACCTCCTTGCTTTGCGCCTCAGTCACTGCTACCTGGGCTGCTTTTCCTCTCTTCTCTTCTGAGCCACCTCCTGCTTTTCCCTCAAAGTGCATCTAACTCCCTTCCCATCCCCGAGGCAGGGGTCAGAGCTCTTGCCCTTTTCAGGCCAGATCAAGGGAACCACATCACCCTGTGTTTTATAGTCGTTTACATTCTTCTGTTCCTTTTCCAACCCCCAAACCATGAACTTGAGCTCGCCAGAGGCAGGAACTACACCTTCTTCCTCTTGCTGTTTCCGGCATATAGTAGATGTGCAGTAAAAATTTGAGGAACGAAGAAATGAGGAGAAAAAATAGAATTTCCCAATGTTCCTTTTATGAATGTGATGCAAAGGGGCTTAAAGGTACTTTTGTTTTCAAACTAGCTGGGAGTGAAGTTGTGGTGTTTGTGGTTGTGCTGGAAAATTACAGCTTGGCTGTCGCCTGTGGAAACATAGGTCATCGCCCATAGGAACATAACATTCTAACAATAAGCTTCCTGCTTCTGTACCCCCACTTGCACAACTGACCTGGGGGTTGACAGTTAGTAAATAGAAGAAAAATTAGATTTTTGTGTTCAGACAGAATGAGGAATGGGGTTTAGGGCTTAAAAACTCTGTACCTCTACATTGATTTGGGGTCTGCATACCCCCTTGATTTGGGGTCTGCATACCCCTGGCAGACCTAGCTGGCTGAATCAAGGGTGTGTTTTCTATAACTCACTGGTTTCTAGTGGTCCGTGTGTCTATCGGGAGCTGGTGGCTACAACATGGCGACCTTGAAAAGAACAGGAGAATGTCTGTCGTTTTGTTGAAACGTCCGTGTGAGCACAGAGGAGGGAGGCTTGAACCCAGTGGCTCCCAGCTGGGGGCCTTTTTGTCTACGTAAGGACATTTTCGGTTGTCAAAACTGAGTGGAGGAAGCTCTTGGCATCTCGCAGGTGGAGGTCGGGGGTGCCACTTAACATCCTGCAATGCACAGAGCAACTTCCATCCCCTCCTCTCAACACGACAAAGAATCATTCAGCCTCAAATGCCCAAATATCAATATCATGGAGATTGATAAATCATGGCCTAGTCCTGTGGGAAAGTGCAGGGCCGAGGGTGGGGTTGAGTAGGGGAGTGTCGCTTGTCTGAGGAGATGATATTTGAGCCAGATGTCAAAGGATAAGCACATGCTGCAAAGATAGAGAAAGGGGACAATGTTACAGAGAGATGAGACCATGTGACTGAAGCATGGAGAAGGGTGAAGGAGAGCCTCGGGAAGTGGCAGGGAGGTGGCTGAGCTGCGTGAGGGGTGGTCGCTGGGAGAGGGAGTAAAGTAGATGATGGTCAGACCGTGAAAGTTCTTGAATCACTCCCACCGGAGCTGATACCTCGAGAGTGGTGGGCGTGGCAGGATGGTTAGCCGGGGAGGGGCAGGATTAGAGCGGAGTATATTAACCAGCACCCTTGGCTGCTGGTGTTGGTCGTGGGCTGCAGGGGTTGAAACGAAGCCCAGAGGCTGGACGGAGGGAGGCTGTTTGGATGTCCTGGGAGAGAGATCAGGCTAGGACTGGATCTGAGGATGGAGAAATGGGGACCGACGAGGGACTTGGTGGCTCATGGGAATGGGTGATGTGGAAGGGGAAAGCAAAACAAAACCCCGGCCATAAATACTTAACATCGGTCTTACACTTCTTTGCAAATTTGTACATCAGCAGCCTGTCCCATAGTCACAGGGATGGCCACTTGGCCAGGGTGCAGGTGGAAAGCCTGTCACTGAGAGGTCATGTAACGAGTCGAATGATTATCATAGAAGTGTCTGGCTGAGTGCACTTGGACCAGTGCCCCCCGACCCCCTAGAACTGACCGTTACTTTGGGCTCACCGTGCACTAGGCTCCGTGCCATGCTCGTGTGCATTCATTCATGGAATTCTCAAAACAACCAAGAGAGCTAAGAAATGTCATTACCCCCGCTTAATAGATAAGCCAGTGGAAGTAGCCAGAGGCTAAGTGGTGAAGCAGGTGTTTGAATCCTGCTGGAAGGACTTTAAGAGCTTACGTTAGGCCTTTTAATAAAAAGAGAAATTGACATAACTTAAAATTAACCATTTTTAAGTGAACAGTTTTGTAGTGTTTAGTACATTCACAATGTTGTGTAACTTTCCCACTTATCATTTTTCATCACCCCCAAAGGAAACCCATTAAATAGCCATTCCCTATTCCCTCCTGTCTGCAGGCCCCAGCAGCCCCCAGTCTGCTTCTGTCTATGGAAGTACCTATTTTGGATGTTTCATATTGATAGAATCTTAAAATACGGGACCTTTTGTGTCTGGTGTCTTTCACGTTTTTGAGGTTCATCCATGTTGCAGCACATATGGCTGAAGGAACCCCATTGGACAGATGTGCTGCATCTTGTTGATGCATTCATCCATCGATGGACATTTGGGTTTCGACTTTTGCCTATTAGCGAGGGGCTAAAAATGTCAACCACTGCCCTCCGCCTTCCCTAAGACAGCTTAGTTCGCCTCTAGTGCCTACGATGAAAGCTGTGATGGAGAGGTGGACGGGGTCTGTGGAATTCCAGAGGAAGGAGTTCTAGAATCTTCCCCCAGGGTAATGGGAAGTGGATGAAGAAGGTTTCACGTAATCCAGGCACAGGAGCGTTATACTTCGCTTGCCCAGATATTGGAAATCGGCTGCCTTGCCGGCAGACGGACGTTCCCGGGGACAGAGCCAGGCTCGGGGGAGGACGCGGAGTCCAGCTTGGGATGCATCGGAAGTGAGGCGCCTGCGGTCATTTAGGGAGAGACGTCCAGGAGGACGTGAGGATTTAGTGCTTAGGAGAGGGGCCTGGGCTGGAAACACAACGTGGGAGGCCTCGGCAGAGCCTCAGCTTGTCATCCCCTTGAACTTGACTTCAAGTCGTTTCAGAGGTCGACTGAGTCCACTTTCTGTGCCGTGTCCAAGGCTGCGTTCTGAAAAGACAGAGACGAGCATAGTGCTTGCTGTCCACATCCTGGGGGAGCTCATCGTTTGGTGCCAATGAGATACTTACGAGGATAATCTTTTTGAAAAGCTGAATGTAAATTTTATTAAAGAGTAACATTTCTCTGGAAAAGAGCAGGAATCGCAAGTGGTTTACTCAAAAATGTTTCGGAGAGTCAATATATCTGCACGATTAGTGCCCAGATCAAGAAACAGATCCTTATCAGAACCCCCAGAAGGTCCCTTACGTCCTCTTCCCGTCACTAACCCCCCGCCCCCACCCCCACCCCACTGAGGGTAACCAGGATGGGAACTTCTAATGTCCAAGATTAATTTTGTCTGTCTCTGAACCTTAGTATCGAGGATGGCACATCGCGCGTACTCGTTGTGTCTGGGTTCTTCCACTCGACATTATGTTTGTAGGATTCACACATGTCATGCACATGTTTTGTGCTTCTTTTATTGCATGAAAGATCTGCGATTTATGGACCTGTCTTGCTGGTGAAGGACATGTGGGTAGTTGCCACTTTCAGCCATCACGCCTTGTGCTGCAGTGAACATTCTTGTGTCTGTTTGCTGAGCATTTGCATGCGCTTCTGTTGGGTACATCCCTGGGAGTGCAATGCTGGCTCATAGGCTCGGCATGTGCCATGTGGCTATACCAGTCCTCACTCCCACCAGCAGCGTCTGAGAGTTCCAGTTGCTCCATATCCTCATCAACACTTGATCATCTTTAAAAGAATTTTTTTTTTTATTGTAAAGAATATACGACATAAAATTTACCGTCTTAACCATTTTTAAGTGTACAGTTCAGTGGCGTGAAATACATTCACATCGCACACGGATCACCACCATCCTTCTCTAGAACTTTTTCACCATCCTAAACTGAAATTCTGTATCCGTTAAACATGTACTGCCTGCCCACTCCCCCAGTTCCCAGCCTTTGGTAATCACTTTTATCGTGGTAAAAAAAAAAAAAATTAAAATAAAAAAATAAAAAACAAAAATTCACCATCTTAGCCATTTTTAAGTGTATAGCGCAGTAGTAGACTCTATGCACATTGCTGTCCATGGTTTCTCTAGAACATTTTTATTTTGCAAAACTGAAACTCTATATCTATTGAATTGCAACTTCCTATTCCCCCCTGCAAGAGGCTCATCTCCCTTTAGGAGCTGGATTACTTTAGATACAGGTAGTATTTGTCTTTTTGTGACTGGCTTGTTTCACTTAACGCAGTGTCCTCAACACTTGATATTCCCGATATTCATTTTGTTATTTTCACCAGTGGGCAGTGGTATAGCATTATAATTTTTATTTGCATTTCCTTGACAACTATTGAAGTTGAATGACTTTCTCTATGCTCATTGGCCCATTAAATATCCCATTTTTCTATTGGGTTGTCTGCCTTTTTCTTATTGATTTTTGCAAGATCTTTATATTGTCTCCTTATTCTCTGGACAAATCCTTTGTTAGATACACGTAGAGAGAAATATCTTCTCTCGCCAAACAGTTCATTTAGAAATAGATCTACCTTTTAAAATAATACATGTCCCCCTCTCCACCCAAAGAAAATAATACACAGTCTTTAAAATAGTGAAGCAAAGCAGAAGATCACGGTCAAGCCAAAGCTGACGCCTCCCTCCATCCTGAGGTAAACGTAACACGTAACAACATACTTGCCGCCAAATGTGTATGTTTTCCCACTTAACGATGTACCTAATCAATATGATCTTCCATTTTACAGAGGGGGAAACTGAGGCACGTAGAGGTTAAGCGGCTTGCCTGGTGTAACACCCTCAGTAAGTAGCTGAGCCTGGATTTGAACCCAGGAATCTCTGTGACCTTCAGCCGCTCTGAGGAACTTCACGTTGTGTTTATAACCTTTGTCTCTGAGGGCTGTTAACTGCTCGAGAATTGGTCCCTGACATACATTTTTTTTTCCCCTCTCAGAGATGGCTTTTCTGGCCTCCAACCAGCTCCTGGGGGTGAGGGTGGGGTCATCATTTCCTGATCTTGATCTCACTGTACTCGGTGGCCTCCTGGTCCTGACGGTTGGGTGGCTTCAGCCCGTGGAAGCTGAGAGAGGCGTAATGGAGCTCCTGGTCCTTCTCTGGGGTGGAAGCGGCCACAGCTGGGGGTGGGGGACTTGAGCGGCTGTCTGATGGGGATTCCTTCAGGTGACTCTGAGGGGGACGAGAGAAGGGCGTCAGAGCCGGCCTTTGGGGTCTGGAGAAGGGAAGGTGGGGCTTGAGGGGCCACTTATTCATTTACGCATTTCACACCCATTTCCTGAGGACTCATGCACTCACTCGCTCATCCGTAACCGGAAGGAGTTTGGATCATAACGGCCTGTTCTTATTACTAAGGTCACTGAATCCTTACGACTTTCCTCCATGGATGATACGACTGGAGTCCCAGTTTGACAGATAGGAAAATGGATCTTGTGCTTCTTTCTACTTTTCTCGTGTGATGGCTAGAAACTGTTAAGTGGCGCATCACGCTTCTGCTGGACCACGCCGATGTGGATGGTGGGGAGCAAGCGGAGGGTGGCCACGTGACAGCTCTTTGGGGAAGAAGGTCTTGCCAAGAGCTCGTTCGGGGAGGAGAGACGGCTCAGTGACCCGGGAGAGACAGCGAGGGCTCAGTGGGAAATAGCCAAATGGAGAAAAGTTTTACTGAAAGGGAGATGGGACAGGACTTGGTCCATTATTGGCTCTGGGAGATGAAGGACAGGAAACAGGAAAAGAAGGTTCTCAGATCTCTGAGTTGACCACGACAGGAAATCCAAGGGGAGGACCAAATTTGGGGTGAGAGGAGAGAAGGGACTCATTATTTTTGGGGTGCGAAGTGAATCATCATCCCGCTCCAGGAGAGGCATCCAGCTGGGACACTGGATGGGAAGGCGCCTGCCCCACTCACCCCAGAGACACCACGCTGGCCCTCTGCCTTCTCCGTCGACTTCCTTCTGTGGATCTTCACTCTGAGGAGAGAGACGGGGCCTCTCACCCTGCTGGCTCGATGCTGGGAGCCCGGAAGGGCTGGCCGAGGCAGGGAGTGGAGGCAGGAAGCATGAGAGGAACGCATGCTCCCTCCTCCCAGACTCTTTCCTGGGACCAGGTGTTGGGAACACACTCTCCACCTGGCATCAGGAATCTGCCAGGAATCTGCCTTCCTGGGTTCGTCACCTCACCGGGGCTCTGAGTTTTGGAGGTTCCCCGCAACATACCCCCCACCACCACCACCTCGTCAGGCCTTCGCCCAAACCGGGGCCCCCACTCACAAGAAGAAGATGACGCAGAGGCAGAGAGCAAACAGGGCTACGACACCAGCTCCCCCAGTGGCCCCCTGAACCACACCTGTCCTGGGTCCTGGTCTCCCTGCAGATACAAGACACCTGGGGTAAAGTCCCGTTTCCCTAAGCAGGACCAGAGCACGCAGCCGTCTCGAATCCGAGCCCGGGAGTGCGTGCACTTCCATCCAGGACTGCTTTGTCCCCACCTCTTTGTGAAACTGCAGCCTCCCGTTCCCCCTTTGCCCTCTCAAGCCAACTGACAGAGGGGCCTGGACTCTAGTCCCCCTTTGCCCCTAGTCAGGCCTATTTCTCTCCCACTCCGTGTCTTCTGGGATCCAGGCTTGTGTCCCCCCTTCCCCTGGCATTGCCCATCGGCCCCTGACCTGGCAGCAGCAGGACAGTGGCGCTCGGGGCCCCGAGGACATTCTGGGCCACGCAGCTGAGTCTGAGGTCAGAGCAGAGCTGCCCTCTGAGGCTCAGGGAGCTGTTGGCCCAGGGCCCCACTGAGCTGGAGGTGATGGTGAGGGAGGCGTTGCTGAGGTTCCCCTCCAGCAGCTGCTCCCCCAGCCTCCAGCGCAGGGAGGGGGCCGGCTGGGCATGGGAGGAGCAGCTGCAGTGCAGCCTCGCGTCCTCCCAGGAGCAGGAGGGTCCCAGCAGCTGTGGGGGGTCTGTGGGGGTGGGGAGAAGGGTCAGCGGTGCCTCTCCCCTGCCCACCCCCCGGGGGGCCTCTCTCTGGCGCTTGCCCCCTCCTGCCCCCAGGCGCCCCCAGCCCCCACTCACAGTCCACCGAGAGGCTCAGGGAGACATGCTGGGAGCCCAGCGGGTTCTGAGCATGGCAGGTGAATTCTCCTTCATGCTCCCTCTGTATCTGAGGCAGTTCCAGGACCCCCAGGTCTGAGGGCTGGGAGAGGTGCAGAGTCTGTCCCCCCCGGGCCCAGCTCAGCGAGGCGGGGGGGTTGCTGCGGGTGACACAGAGCAGACGCAGAGGGTCCCCTTCCCGGACTGTAAGAGACGAGCCATTGCCCAGATCTTCATGTCCTGGCCAGAGAGAGAGAAAGGTAAGCCCTGGCCCTCACTAGGGTCTCTCTCTCTCTCTCTCTGTCTTTCTCTGTCTCTGTCTCTCTCTTTCTTTTCCTTACATTATGGAGATCAGTTTCTTCTCTTCCATTGCCTGATGGGTTTGTGCCATCTGGGCTTAGCCCCAAGGGGACAAGGCTAGGAGCAGGCACTGCAGCTGTTCCAGGAGACCCCCGTGGACTCGTCTGAACCGCCCTGGTCCCTAGGCCTCCTGTCTGGGGCATCTGTGCCAACGCAGACCCCAGACATCCCTCCACGAGCCCTGCCATTTTATCTGTAGAAAACGGTTTGCCGAGACGACCTGTCAGATCCAGCCGCATCTGAGAGCTCACAGTCTCGTGGGTGAGAAGCCCCAAAAGCAGGTTCTCATAGTTCTCCCTTTTGTGGCGGGAGGACAGCCTTCGCCAGAGCATGAGGACGGGCGGGAGCCGGTGTGGGGATGGCTGTGGCGTGCAAGGACTATGTTCAGGAGGGCACTAAAACCAAGGCATGGAATGGCCTCGCACGCGCCAAGAAAAACACACAGTCCTGTGAGGCCTGAGTGAACAGGCACCTTGGGGAGTGTTTACACGAGGCTACTGGATTTACAAAATAATGATACAAATGGCCCGTGGTACAAATAGTCACAGGGAAGTAAAGTGCAACACAGGGAATAGGGTCAATAATACTGTAATCACTTTGCATGGTGTCAGGTGGGGACCAGACTTATCGGGCGGATGGCTTCGTAAGGTATATAAACGTCTAACTGCTATGTTGTACGTCCGAAACTCATATAAGATTGCATGTCAACTGTAATCAAAAAAACAAATTAAAAAATAATATTAGAATGGGAAAAATCAGAAGCATGGAATAAAATACTGATAAATGCAACCTGTAGTGTATCAGTAAATGTGTGACAAACAGCTTATTGGGGGGGTTGGGTAGTGTAGGGAGGGGTCCTGATTTGTAGGACTTTCCAATTTCCTTGGTGTAAACCCTGCCATCTCAGCCAATTTCAAGCCCCCAACGTGAAGTCACTGAACCCAGAGTTGGGTCGAGATGGGCATCATTGGCGCTCACCACCCGATGGGAACCAGCTCCAATACAGGACTGTGTGCAACTCTAAAAAAATCGTGCCTGGAAAAAGCACCATACGCTGAGTCGAAAGGCCATCACTAGGTTGAAAATAAACTTTTTCAACCAACGCACAGCTGATTTCCTTAATATGGAGATACTTTCTTCACATGGTTAAGAAGAACTCCACAAGGACATACGAAATGGTTGACGTAACGAAGAGGCTCAACCTAGTTACAAACTGGCAATGCACATCAAACCACAGCAAATGCACTTAGGACATCAGCACATGCACTTAGTACGTCAGCAAGGGTGAGGACCTTCGGCAGCGAAACAGAGGCAGATGGCAGGGGGGACGACACCGCGCAGCAGAATTTGGCACAGTCTGTAGCAACTACGAACATGCCCTTTGATCCAGAACTTCCATTCTCTAGAAAGTTTTCTTCCAGACACACGCACACACACAGCAGCACGGCATTATTTGTCTTAGGCGAAAACTGGAAACACCATAGTTTTCCACCAACGGGGAACCAGTTAAGTATATTGTGCTATAATATCCTTCTAACTGAGAAATCATGGCGTCATCAAGAATGAGAAAGTTTCCTCTGTGATGACCCAGAAGGACCTCCAAGATATACTAAATGTGAGAACGAGGAGGGTTTCGTTCCTAGTAATGGACCACTGCCACTTTCAAAGTTGTGTCGAGTGTGCCATGGTGACAAATGGCTTTAATGGTGAGGGAAGGTGGGGGAAAGGATTTGGGGGAACTCTTTGTACCATGAAAATCTGAATTATTCCACAGCGAAGGTTTATTTTAAAAAGTCTCACAGCAGAGTGCAGAGCATGGTACACACGCGTGTGTGTGTGTGTTTTAATGTATGGACATAGATTATACGTGGAAAGACAACCAAGAGAGGAGGTACACCAGGTACTGAATACTATTTTCATTCTTATGGAATTTTGCGAGGGACTGAATTGTGTTCCCCTCGAATTCTTATGTTCAAGTCCTAAATCCCCACGCCCCGCCCCGCCCCGCCCGCAATGCGGTGGTATTTGGAGGTATGTGAATGGGCGTTTGGGGGTGATTAGAGTTCAAGTCACGACAGTGGGACCCTCATGACGAAATTAGCATCCTTATAAGGAGAAGGGACCCCAGAGGGCTTGCTCTCACTGACTACCATGCGAAGACACAACGAGAAGGTGGATGCCTACGAGCCAGGAAGGGCGTCCTCACCAGGAACCAATGGGCTGACGCCTTGATCTTGGACGTACAGCCTCCAGAACTGTGATAAATAAATCCCTTCTTTCTAAGCCACCCCGTCTGCGGTATTTCGTGATGGCGGTGCCAGCGGACACAGACACATTTTGTGCTTACTAGTTTAAAGACAACGTTAAAGTCATCACAGAAAACTGGGGTGGGGAGGAGGGTAGGCAGGGTCCAAATCCTAAGGGGAATGAGCGCAGGATTTGGGATGAGGATGCAATTAGCCACATCTGTCGGGCGCGGAGGTCATGCAAGCCCCCGTGACAGCGGGGTCAGGGTGGGGAGAGACCAGGTTTGAAGCTGAGAAGGAGCGTGTGGGCGGCTTCCCATGTCCGCTGTCCTCACGCCTGCCCCTGGCCTCCCTCCCATCTGACTTCTCTGTTCCAAAGGATGGAGACAGACCCCACTTCCACCCCCACCCCGCTCCTGAGAGAAGAGGCTACACCCTACCTGCACCTTCTTTCCGGAACACCTTGATGGTCAAGTCCTGGGGGGCATCTGGACAGACAGACAGACAGACAGAAAGACATAAATAATCGTTCCCTTTTCAGTGGCAAGAAGCTGACCATTGGCCTTCCTGCCCCCTGCCCCTCCCACACACAGAACTGAGAAATAGGAAGGTAGTGAAATTGAGTGTCCTGTTTCCTGCCTCTGGATCCCCAACACCCACTGTCCTCAGAGACGCAGCGTCCTGGCTGGGCACTCACAGGACACGTTGAGCCGGATGGTCCTCTCTGTGCTCACGCCACTGTGGAAGGTCACTCGACAGGTCAGGTTGGTGTCGTGGTGCTGGGGCCCAGGGGTGAGGGTGACCACGGAGGAGCGGGGAGTCCTGGGACCCAGGAGCGTGAGGTTGACCCCGATCCAGGAGAAGGTGGGGGGCGTCCCCCTCTCACAGGCCCATGACACTGAACACGTAATTTTCCTGGGGTGGCCAGATTCTAGGGTCCCCTGGATGTCGATGTCAGGTGTCTGTGACAGAGCTGGGGAGGAGAGGGACAGAGACCCACACCCTGGAGCTGGGGGTGCGAGCGTGCCCCCAAGAGCTGCCTCTGCCTCAGGCCAGCCCCAGCATCCTGTCCCCCTGGGTCCCTCCCAGAGAAGAAGGGGAATCATCCCAGCCCTGCCCCGGGAGCCCTCAGGACCCACCCGTGTGGTGTCTCTGTGACCCATGCCTTACCCGTCACACACACAGAAAGCTGTTTTCTTTTGTAACTGTATTTCACAGTCTTTCCTCTCTCCACCCTAAAGAAGTAGGTGCCCGTGTCGTTTCTACGCGCGTCTCTAATGTCCAGGGAGCACTTGTAATTCTTGGGGTCCCCTAGGAGACGGAATCGGCCCTGGGTCTCCTCCTGCACATCACGGTCTAGGTTGTTTGTGGCCACGGGAGCATCCCGCTGTTCCGTCGCTCCTTCCCGGAACCAGTAGCCATAAGCTGGGGTATTTTTATCCCAGCCTCCCCGGGGGTAGAAGAAGTCGCAGAGCACGCTGACATGCGCGCCCTCCAGCACCTCCACAGAATCCTGCACTGTCAGCCAGTATCGTGGAACCAGCTGAGACCCTGAGGGGAAACCAGAGTTAGTCTCAGATCCCGCCCTGCCGCCCCTCGTCCCCTTGGCCACCCACCTGTTCGCAGCAGCAGCAGAGGCAGCAGCAGCAGTAGCAGCAACAGCATCTTGGGGGGAAGTGTCGCGGGGCTTTGGTGTCACAGGACTTAGAGGAAGCACCAACAGGAAGCCCGGGCTGAAGTCAGGGAGGCGATGACCACGCAGCAGGAACTGGGCGCCCGCCCGAGGCGCGGCTGGCCAGCCCTTGCAGAAGAGGACTTCCACTTCCCAGATGGGGTGTCCGGGGGGGAGGACCCCACATTCAAGGAGGACCCGACCCCCACTCCTGGCTCCCGGTCCTCGGCTTATCCCTCTGGCGCCGCTGTCTGCGCCTGGAAAGCGGGCACCGCCTGGCCGGTCACCGCTTCGACCTGTCACACAGAGTCGGTCGCAAGGGTGTGGGCGTCGGGAGGGGCCGCAGTGGGAGCCGCAGTGCGTGAAAGACGCGAACCCATGAGACCCGTGAAGGGATGAGCGAGCGGCACCCCTCCACGGACACCTGCTCCCCAGGGGCCGCGAAGGAAAGGAGGAGGCGGAGGAGCTCCAGGCCATTTCGGGGGGTTTGCGGGGTACCAGGGGAGACCGAGGGAGCGCAGGCAGGGGCTCGTGGGAGACCCCGTGGCTCCGGGTAGCCAGACCGCGAGTTCACAGGTGTGAGTGGCCACAGCGCAGACACCAGGACTCCGAGGACGTCGCCAGGATGTGCCCCTTCAGGTGACGCGCTGCCGCTGCGGTTCAGGCATCTGTGGGGGTGACCGTGGCTTGGCAGCCAGGTGGGCCGGGGTCTCCGCCACTCCCAGCCTCGGTTTCCTCGTCCGTCTCTCAGGGCGTCGCGATTCTCCACCCCCTTCTGTGGGAGAGGCCAGCGGGCGCACGGACACAGAGCTTTTCTGCAGACTCAGTGTGGCCGTCTCGCGGGGCCAGCGTCTGTCCCTGCCCTTTTCTCGGTGGTCACTCTGAGTCCCGTCCTGGGTGGGAAGCCCCTGGCGGTCACCTCTGCCCTGGAGCTTCCTCATCCGGGGCCTCCGTGTCCAGGGGGTCAGGGCCCGGCTCTGCAGCCAGACGGCCGGACTCCATCCGTCCCCTGGATTCTCGCTGAGCCCAGTCAGCTGCTGACGCCCGTGGGGTGTTGTGGGCTGAACGGTGTGACCCCCAAATTCATGCTGTCACGCCCTAACTCCCAGCACCTCCCAATGTGACTGCATTTGGAGACGGGGGAATGTGAAGAGGTGACTTAGGTCAAAGGAGGTCACCAGGGTGGGCCCCGATCCAGGAGGACTGGCGTCCTTGTAAGCAGAGGGGATGAGCACCCAGACACACACGCGAGGCCCGCGCGAGGACACGGGGGGCGCGCCGTCTCCACGCCAAGCACCCAGCCCTCCGAAGGAGCCGCCCAGCGACGCCTCCATCCGGGGCTTCCGGCCTCCAGGACCGTGAGAAAGTGTGTTTCGGTCGTTCACGTCGCCCCGGCCGTCCGTCCGTCCGAGCTGACTGACCCCCGGGGCGGCCCAGCACAGTGATGCGTTCATACTGGTACCGAGCTCAGAGCAGCCCGATCTGGCCCACAGTGGCCGCAGCCAGTCTGCAGGGAGGGGCTGCTGTGAGGATGTGAGGAGAAAGGGGACCACAGGAGACTTTACTGTCTCCCCCCGCCCCCCACACACCAGCTCTGCTCTCTGCAGGGCTGTTACTTCTCCAGGCCACACTTCCCCTCCCCAGGCCAGGCCAGGCCCCAGGCTTGGGCTGGTCCCTCTGCTGGCTGAGCCCGGTACTGCGCCCGCACCCTGGGTGCCTGTCTCCCACCTGCTGCGCTGAGCGTGCTGGGCACCCGGGGCTCAGGGCAGGCAGCACCCCCAACACACACCAGCTCTGCTCTCTGCAGGGCTGTTACTTCTCCAGGCCACACTTCCCCTCCCCAGGCCAGGCCAGGCCCCAGGCTTGGGCTGGTCCCTCTGCTGGCTGAGCCCGGTACTGCGCCCGCACCCTGGGTGCCTGTCTCCCACCTGTTGCGCTGAGCGTGCTGGGCACCCGGGGCTCAGGGCAGGCAGCACTGGGGGCGCAGAGGCCAGAGCAGTCCAGGAAGAGCGAGCAGAGGCACGACCCCCCGCCGGAGTGGGCACAGCCCACGCAGCGCGCCTGCGCAGACGGGTCCGTTGGCGGCGGGGCGGGGCTCCGTTTGCGTGTCTCCACGCCTGTGTGTAAATGCGTGTCTGCGCTTTCTGTGGGTGTGCACATCTGAGTTGCGTGTGTGTCTGCGTAGGCGCCTATGGTGTGTGTGCATGTGTGTGCGCACTCCGATGTCCATTTCTCGGTAACATTGGCGAATAACATACTGAAGGATAGAATCCGTGCCATATTTTCTATACATCTTCTCTGTTTTGTTTTTCTCCAAATTCTTGATCGCCGATCAATATAACCTAAAATCTACTTCGTTATTCTTAACCTGTCTTCTCTGCCATTAAACTGTAAGCTTCATGAAGAGTCTTGTAACTCTTCTTACCGCTGAATTCACACTGCTTAGAAAAATGCTCGGAGTCTGTTAGGTGATCAATAAATATCTGCTTTAAGGAGATTTCGCATAAGCAGAAGGAGTTCACTGGCTGTCTCCAACGGGAAGCTATGCATTCTTGAGAGCACGCCCTCCTAGGCTCATCTGATTCTAGCATTTTATTGTCTTTGGACTATTTTATAATGCTACAACCTGTTGATAATCGGTAACCAGGCAAACAGTTCCGGCTCACAGGCAGGCACATGCATTCTGTCCTCTGAAAGGTCAGTGGACTCACCCCGCCCAGGCAGTTTCACGCCATCCATAAATTCACTGTACTCCGTTTAAATGCGGGCTTCTTTCATTTCTGCCTGGTTATCTCATTCGTAATGACTTAAAGAAAACGGGGAATGTCTGTTCACCGCGAGGTGAGAAAGTTCTAGACACCTGTTGCGCAGCACAGTGCCTGTAGGTGATAGTACTATACACTTCCAAAGTTGTTAAGCGGGGTAGACCTGATGTGATGGGATTTTCTTACCGCAGTAAAAACAGCCTTCAAGGTGCCCATGACTGTTTCGTAGCTACCAGCTTGTGCCTCTTAACTCTTCATCTTTTTCACCCAGGCCGGCACTAGACTTATCGGAGAGGGGGGTCACTTTGTAAATGATATAAGTGTCTAACCACCACGCTGTGCACCGGAAATCATATAATATTGACTGTCAACTGTCATTGAAAAAATGAAAATCCTTTAACACGTTGTCTGTTTGCTTGGTTTTTTTATGTAAGTCGTGACTTGGTAAGTGGCACAGTTGGTGACACGTGTCGGATGACAGGCCTCCTAGAGCGACATAAATGCACCAGGATCAGAATCTCGCGTAATTTTTTGCTTTACCTTTGGTTAAAAAAATTACAGACATGTATACATATGCTTTTTCCTGCCTGCATCTACTCACTCACAGCCATAAAGAAGAGTTTGGAAGGTCGGAAGCCAGACGTGAACAAAAGCTTGTCGTTTGTTTTTCTGTGCAGTGGCCGAGTCAGCTCAGCAAAGTGCTTCTCTAATGTGCCGAGGTGGGTGAGGGGTGGGGAGAGAGGTTTGGGTGTCCCCCTGTATGGCTTCTCCTGGCAGGATCCTGCGTCCAGGACATTTACTGTGTCCCGAGGGGCAAAAGAGCTCAAGTTTGGCTCATCCCTCCTTTTCTGGGGCCCCCAGCCCTGCCAGGAAAAGTAGGAATGAGGTCAGGGTCTAGTAGAAAGCCGGCTCTGGGGCCGACCAGCTGGTGTTTGGGGGACTCAGATGGGGGGTTACCTGGGAGGGGCCTGATCCCCCGATGTACTAGACCCTGGACAGGCTGTAGGGGAGCGGGAAGCGAGCCCACAAGTGGGCAGTCCTGAGCGGGGTGAGGACCGGAAGGAGTGGCACAGGTAGGAAGCTGTCGGGAGGACATGAAGCATTATCAGGACGCAGACTTCCTGCTGCTTCACTACTCTGGGACTCAGGACAGCCTGGCCTAGTCGCCGCGGGAGGCGTATGGGCCACAGTTAGGGCGGGAGCCCTGGGGTGGTTGAGACCACCTGACAAGAGACCGGAAGGCTCCTGGCAGAAACGTGAGAAAGCCCAGTGAGGGTGAAACCCCGTCCCGCACCACGAGAGGGAAAATCAGTTCATTTCTGTCAAGGTCTTGCGACAACTGTACACTGTCATAAGGACCCTCACTCTGAGTGACCAAAGTTATTCCCATCTAACTCCTTGGGATGGCACCCAATTCCTAGTTAACACTCACGCCGGCCAAGAGCCCAAGTCGGAGGATGGTGGCAAGCCCTGGAAGGTCCCAGACACCGCCGACCGGCGTCATTGACCTATGATGTCACCAGACCCTCTCCCGGGCTCCCTCCACTCTGCAATGGGGGCTGGAATGTGGCCGGCCCCCTGGGGCGCTCCATCAACCAGGAGACACTGCCCTGGGGAAGACCCTAGGTGAGTGGGGTCGCGGTGGGTGTATGTGGCTGGCGCTGTCCACGGTGCTGAAAAAGGTACCTCCCAGCTCTGCAAAAGGGTCTGACCTCAGAGGCTTATGTCCCACTTTGGGGCCAGGAAGGCAAAGAGGTGGGGATGGGTGGAGCCAGGGGAGGAGCGGACGATCAGGAGCGCAGGGTGCTGGGCTCCGCTCTCTGTCCCTTCTTCCATCTTTGCTGTTCACTCTGAAGTATGACACCTGAGCTTGGTGTCCGTCTGCCCCATTTGGCTGCGCCACAGGGCGGGAAGATGCTTTTGCTAAGGCTGTTTGAGTGAGATTAAGAATCACCTAGAACAGAGGTCGGAAAGCTACAGACTGGGGACCGCCTGCTTTTGTAAATAAAATTTTATTGAAACGCAGCCACATTCATTTATTTGCAGACCGTCTATGGCTGTGTTTGCACTGCAAACAGAGTTGCCTTGTTGCAAGCGGGACCATATAGCTGGCCAAGGCTAAAATGTTTGCTATCTGGCCCCGTTGAAAACAAACAAACAGACAAACAAAAACGTCTTTGGACCCAGGACCAAGAATGGCAAGTCGAGAAGCTTGCAAATTGTTCTTTTGAGCTGAGAAGGTAGAGCAGTATTTTGACTCTGGTCGTCCCTGAGTGTGAGGGAAATCTGTACATGTGAATAAGCGGGACTCGTAGCTGGCAGAGGGAACGGAACGAGAAGGGTTAGGAGTGGAGAGAGGGTCAGGGAGAGCACCCACGGAAGGCGTGTGAGTCGAGGGTGAGACCGTCATGTCACGGAGGTGGTGTCTGGGAGAGGCATGGAGCCCGGCCTCTGGGGGAATCGTCACTAATACCATTCTATTTAAGGGGGGAAGGAACCGGCATCATCAGACCCTCACCGGGTGCCAGGATTCTTGCTGAGCGGTTGCCACATGTACTTTTATTTAATGCTCATGGCGACCCTGCGAGGTAGGGCTTCTCACTCCCATTCACGGAGCAGGAGACGGAGACATGGAGGGTTGGGTGGCTGCCTGGTGTCCTATTCTTAATGAGTGAAAGACTGCGGATTCGACCCCAGGTGTCTCTGATTGCAATGTCTAAGATGCTCCATCAGAGTAACAAACTCACATACAGTCATGTATAAACCCGTCGCCCATGGGGATGTTAAGCCTCAAGAAGCAGCCTGTGGGTATCTTCCCCCAAAGATAGGGACGCTCCGGCTGAGACTGATGCTCCCGCCGGCAGCTCACTAGGTCCTGGTCTCTGAGTATGCCGTGTGGGTGTCCTCCCGTGGATGAGTCCTCCCTTGAAAGCTGATGGTGGCATAATGCAGATCCTGCTCGGACTCCACAGTGGGGGTGGCCCCTGCAGAGCTGGTGGGGTCTGTGGGGCTGTCTATCTTGGACTTCTGCTGGTGACCCTGTGTGGGAGGCCAAGGTCAGAGCTGGGCAGAGGGGAGGGCGGAGGAAAAGGCAGAGAAGGTCCCCAAAGTGAAGGTGATTGTGACAGGACCTCTGTTCATTCTTCCCTTCCTGTAGCAATCATTTCACGAGGTCCCGTGTCCTCAGTGACCCAACAAGTAGAGCACTCATTCCTTGCTTCCGATTCTACTGACCTGAGTGGAACATGCTATTATTTTACATGGGAAGAAACGAAGTCTCAGAGGGGTTAAGTATGTCTCCGGGTCAGACATGCGCTGATCAGGAACTCAATCCCTGGCCTCCCAAAGGTGTCCCGTGTGCCGGGTACTGGCTACGCGGGAAGGTGGCCCGGACCCAGGGCGAGCTCTCTCCCTGCGTGCTGCTCCTCTGCCCCCGCGAGCCAACCTTGCTCACAGCCCTCTCGTGTCGCTGGCAAATCCCGGTGGCTCCACCTTCACAGTGTATCCAGGACACGATCCCTGACCGGCAGCCTGAATTAAGTCCGTCTGAGGGACCGGGTCGGTTGCCCCCCGTACACTCGTGCATTGAGGTTCTAAGCCCCAAGGAGACTGAATTTGGAGGTGGGGCCTTACGAGAGGTAATGACGTTTAAATGAAGCCATGGAGGTAGGACCCGACCTGACTTAAGTCCTTTTAAGAAGAGCAGATGCAAAAAATACACGGGCACAGAGCAGAGACCACCTGAGGACACGGGTGGGGGGGTGTCACCTGCAAGCCAGGGAGAGAGTGTTCGGTGGGGGGGGGGCACTCTACATGTGCAACGTAAGAATCGGCAAACTACAGATGCTACCCAAGCATCCAGAACAATCGACGTTGGGAGGTGTTCGCTGAGAGCAAGGATGAATGCGTGGGCGATTGCTGACCGTGTGTGTGTGTGTGTGTGTGTGTGTGTGTGTGTGTGCGGGGACCTCACAGCGGTGTTTACAGGAGTCAGAGGTAAAGAAAGAAATGGAAGTCGGAGCTCAGGGTTGGGGAGGGATAAGCAGGAACAGGGCAGCTCGGCGTGGGCATGCGAGGAGGACCGGGCAGCCGAGCCAAGATTCTGAGACCCCAGAAGCTTGCTCTGCTCCAGGCGAGGGAGCGGCCAGCGCTGGAGGCTCACGCTCAGAAGGTGACTCTGGTTTTCCTGCCCCAGATGCCAAGCCAGGCCGTGGGGGTGTTTGCCTCCTCGTAGCGCGGAGAAGCAGTGTGTTTTAGACTGGGGTGCGCTGGGACGGTGACTTTTTTATGCAGGTAATGCCAGTGTGCCGGGGAGGGGGGACGGGAGAGCTGCGTCAGGGTCGTCAGGGTCGTGGTTAACACGGAGCGGAGCTCGGGGCTCGGTTGGAAGGGGAGCGGCCCAAAGGGAGAAGAAGTGCAGACAGGCTCTGCAGCCTCTTGCTGCAGGAAGGGGAGACAGACGACCCGGTGAGACATGGTTGGGTGTCAGGGACAAAAGCATGGTGGGCAAGATGGAGAACCCGGAAAGGGATGTTTCGGGGGGTATTAACCACGCGCTTCCAACATCGTGACATCCGGGGCTCACCAAGGAGCTGCCCCTGACAGCCACAGCCAATGGCCGGAGACCGCAAAGGACGTGCGGTTCCTGCTGCAAACCGGCCAGTCCAGACCTCACGCCTGAACCCCGCCTCCGTGGGGTCCTCAGACAGCGGGCGATACCCCGGGGCCGGACGCCACACCTCGCGGGGTCATTGGGAGCAGCTCCTGCGTCACCGCGCCTTCCCGCATCAAGGCTCCCGCCGCGGTCCCCGGCGCCCCACTCACCGCCTCCGCCCCTGACCGCCCCGCTCCCCCTCACCCCCAGGCCGGTTCGCCCGGTGTTCCCCCTTACTGATGGGACAGTCAGGGACTAACTGAGCCACCGTCTCCTGATCCCGTGGCCTCACGTACCCGAATAATAATGAAACCCACAAACTTTAAACAAGAAATGGGAAGTGGAGAGCGCATTTCTGGACACGCTGGACGGAGCGTGAGCGAGGGCCACCGGGGGGTGTGGCGCGGGCGCGGATGCCCACGTCACTCACCGGTCACTCACCGGGGAAGCGGGCCCGGCCGCAGTGCGGGTGTCGCCCACGCCCGTGGCTGTCCTGGCTGCTGCTCTCCTGTGGGTCTTCACTCTGACGGGAGACACCGGGGTCCGTGACACGGCCACTCGCTGAGGCTGGAGGGACTGACGAGGGCCGCTCCAGGCTGGGGCGAGCCCGGGAGCCTTCATAACAAGACTTGCTGTCTGGAACCAGGGCTGGGGACATATCCAGCCTGGCTCAGTGGCTACTGCCTGGGTTCTCGCCACCACGGCACCCGCCCTGGCTCTGGGCTTTCACGACCTGTCCAGCCCCCTCTTGGCCATCTCGGGCCCACACCCGCCCCAGCTCACGCGAAGTAGATGACGGACAGGCAGAGAGCAAGCAGCCCGGTGACACCGGCTCCCGCGACAGCCCCCAGAACCACTCCCGTCCTGGTCCCTGGTTGCCCTGCGGACAAGACAGACCCTGCGTGAACCCCATCTTGATGAGCGGGCATGAGGCCCCTCCTCTCCAGCACAGAGTGGGGTGCCCCTCTCCTCCTACCCAGGGGCAGCCTCCAAGCCCTCCCGCCCAATCTGGGAGCTCCGCCTTCTTCAGAACCGCAGAAGGAAGGGCGCGGTCCACAGGACACTCCAGCCGAACCCCCTCTCGTGGGGAGCAGACTGCGTCTCCTCCAGGACCAGGTTCCCTCAGCTAGGGTCTCTGGGACAGTGCGCGTTCGTTCATGCAGCGCCCCAGAGGTCCGGCCTGGCGGGGGCGGCCATGCGAGCAGCTGTGGAGGGGACAGCGGCCCGTAAGGGGACCTCTCCCGACCTTCTGCTCAGTTAGCTGGGACCTAAAACAGCTCTGAAAAATGAAGTCTCCTCGGAAACGCCCAAGGCATTCGTGACTGGAGGAAACAGAGAGGGTGGCTCAGGCCGGCAGGGAGGAGGCGGGGAAGAGGTCCTGGGGGCGGGGCCTGACGGGGCTTCGGTGGAACCCCGCCCCTCCCCCAGGCCGCCGCCTGAGCTCTGAAGTCTGCAGTGCACGGACCTGGAGAAAAGTCTGCTGCAGTCAGCTCCACAGGCGGGGGGCCGGAGAGGGTGGCGGGACTCTCTCTTACCTGTGCCTTCTCCCAGGCAGACGCCTGTTGTCGCGCTGGTTGGGGTACCTAGGACGGGAACAGCGGTATGTCCTTCTCAGTGGGGCGAGTGGGAAGGGGCTCGCGGGATTCAACCTGTAATTTCCCGATGACGAGCGATGTGACGTCTGCCTTCGCGTGCTACTTTGCCATTACTTTCTCTTCTGGTGAAGTAGCTGATTAAATCCTTGGCTGTTTTCAACATATACAGGCAACCTAAATGCTCATCAACAGATCAGTGGCGAAAGAGATGATGGGTAATGTATACAATGGACTATTAATCAGCCGTTAAGAAAATGAAATCCTACCATTTGCAAAGACATGGATGGACCTAGAGGTTATTATGTCGAGTGAAATGTCAGACAGAGAAAGGCAAATGCCATATGATTTCGCTCATATGTGGAATCTAAGGAACAAAACGAACAAACGAATCAAAAACAGACTCATAAATATAGTGGACAATATGGAGGGGGGTCTGGGGGCTGGAGAAGTTGGTGAAGGCTTAAAGAAGTACAAATTCATAGTGGATGGATGGTCACGGGGCCGGGGAGCACCAGCAGCCAGAGGGAGTGTAGTCAGCACTCACAGGATGGCTAGGTGGAGGGCCAGGGGAAGGTGGGAGCACTCTATGGTTTCATGAACTCTAGAGATGTCTCTCCAACGTACTATATACTTGAAACTAAATGAAAGAAATATTTTTTAAAAAAGATCCTTGTCTTTTTTTTTTTAATTTTTTTTACACCTACAGCACCTGGTCTTCCTAGGTGGTCTCCCATCCACATACTAACCAGGCCCCACCTTGCTTAGCTTCCGAGATCAGATGGGATCGGGCATGGTCAGGGTGGCACGGTCCTAGACTTTAATTGTTTTTTAATGGTAAAATATACAGAACAAACCTTTCCCGTTTTCCCGCTTCCTGACTGTCTGGGTCAGTGGCAGAGAGGGGGAGGGAGGGGTCTGGAGGGCGGGGAGGTGTGGCCCTAGAGAAGCCTAGGGCTTTGGTCCAGTTCTGCCCTCTGAGCCTGACAGGCTGGAGTCCCAGCTGCTCCAAGCAGGGGGCGCATCCCAGCCCTGCCCAGCGGGTCTTCAGAACCCACCGTGTGGCCTCTCCATGACCCATGCCTTACCCGTCACTCGCACAGCGAGTTGGTTTATTTTGTAAGTATGTCTCACATTAGACCCTCTCTCCACCCTAAAGAAGTAGGTGCCCGAGTCGTTTCTCCGTGCGTCTCTGATGTCCAGGGAGCAGTTGGAGGCCCCGGGGTCCCCGAGGAGACGGAATCGGCCCTGGGTCTCCTTCTGCACGGCTCGACGTGGGTGGTTTGTGGCTACGGGAGCATCCCGCCCTTCCTTCGCCCCGTTCCTGAACCAGTAGCCGTGAGCTGCAGCTTCAGTCGAAGACATCGCAGGAATGGAGAAGGCACAGGGCACGGAGACGCACAGGCCCTCGGGTTGTTTGGCCACGAGAGCATCCCACTGTTTCCTCCTGCTGGTCCGGAACCAGTAGCCATGAGCTGGAGCATTAGTCCAGGAGCTCACAGGGTAGGAGAAGGTACAGGGCACGGAGACGCACAGGCCCTCCTGCACCGCGTCGGACTCCTGTACTGCCAGCTGGTATCTGTCATCCTGAGCCAGGGACCCTGTGGGGAAAGGAAAGTGAGCAGAGCCCCCAGGCCGCCCCCGCCCTCCCTGAGGCCACTCACCCGCCCACAGCAGGGGCAGCAGCAGCGGCAGCATCTCTGCCTGGAGGCGTCTGGGCTCCGTGCAGAAAAGAGAAGGAAGACGGTGTGTGTGGAGGGGGGACTCGGAAGCCGGGGCGGAGCCCGGGGCCGCCTCGTTCAGGGAAGAGGAACCTCAGAGAAGAGCTTAGCCTCCCTCTGCACAGAGCATGGACACCCCACGGCCCAGGGACCCCCAGACCCTCCCAGAGAGGAGCAGACAGGGAGCAGACCCTGGGCCCTGCTCCTTCCCCAGCGGACTTCCCCACAGCGGGGACCAGGGCCGCTGAGGGCATCGGAGGATGGGACACGTGAGTCTCCTAAGATGCTCCCATCTGAGGGGCTTTTCTGAGTGTCGTCGTGCTGGCCACCTGCTGCCTTGACCGGAAGGGTCACAGCCTCATCTGGAAGCCTTGGCGGGTCCTACGAGGTGTGGGATTCCTTAATGTCTGCGTGAACATCTGGGGCAGAGGAAAGAAGGCGTTCCGAGCAAAGCGAAGGCCGCGTTCGTCCGCTCACTCGGCAAACTCTTGGCGAGCATCTCGGTGGCGATGTGGGTCGGCTGGGGACGGAGACGGACAGGACCAATCTGCTGTGCCTGTGAGATGCTGCGCTCACTACTGTCCCTCGCTCCCCAAATACACAGCACTGAGGGGTGTTGGAGCTGCGGCCACCTGCGAGTCCGCTGGTGTCCCGCTGAGCACACTGAGTGTTTCTCAAACTACGAAGGCAGTTGTTGTTGTTGTTGTTGTTTTCAGTTTTATTTTCAACGGCGCCTTGAAAAGGAAAAACCCTGTCACTTCTTCCTGTAAACAGAGGGCGAACCCATGTCCCATGAGCACTTGCAGCAAGAACATGACATTTGCCTTTGCAAATGAACTGCATTCTTTTATCAGAATTCTTTCATAATATGCCCAA